ATCAGCATGAATGGTGCGTGCCCCCACCTTTTTGTAGGGAATACACTGCCACGCTCAGGGTGTGCACGTGCACCCCCTACACCTCACTCCTGGGATATTGGATTTACGCAAAGCACCTTGTCTACTCTCCATTCATGCATTTCAAAGCACTTCATAAAGGAGGGAAGCACTGTTATCCTTGTGGCAGGGATGGGGAAAGTGAGGCAAGGAGCTCAGAAGTGATTTCTTCATAGCTGCTCTTCTGGGTAAAAAAAAGAATAGAAATTAGGTCTGCTGTGTCCCAGCCTAGAAAACCTCTATGACTTTAAGTTAAATGTGCAGGGCTGCCAGTTAAAAACGAACAAAAAACCTAACAAACAAAACCCCCACAAAAACACAACTCTCTCTCTCTCTCTCTCTAAATGTGAGGTGGAAGTTATGAGGGTGAACATAGTACCACACAATGTCAGTTTTGGACCATGGTTTTTCTTATTAAAACTGACTTGAAGCAACAAGACAAGTACTTGGAATATCAACAGTGAAGAAATATGTAAAATACTTCCCTAAGGTCACTTCACTGACATTACCAATGTTGAGAGCTCAGGTGTGAACAGGCCACCAGCTGCTGCAACCCATCTTAAGCACTACGGAGATTTTCAAATGTACCAATGGCAGTATAGCATAAGGATGTAAATATCATTTAAAAAAATTGTGTTTAATCTCATCTAATTATATTGGTTAACTGCTAACACAGCTGCTGCTGGGAACTGCTTCTGGGGCTCTGGGAGTGGGGGTGCCCCTATGGCAAGCCCAGCCAGACAACACAGCCCAGGTGAAGCCCCACTTCAATGCCATAGCAAGGTGGGGGGGGAAGAGAGCAGGGTGACCAGCCCAGGCACTGAAGCGAAGGGGCATCAACAGGCACTGCCTAGCTGGGGCAGGGAGGGGGATGGAGCTGTGAGTGGCTCATTTGTGGGGGCGTAGAGATGGGGCGGGGGAAAGGTGGCTCCCACCACTGCATACACATGAGCCCCGGATCTGTGCATGGGGCAAGGGTGGGCTGCTGCTGCAGGCTTTACCCAGATGCCAAACATTGTTACTATGGCACTGCCCAACTGAGATGAGGGAGCACCTGTGAACAAGCAGCTAATTGCTTAAATGAGGAGTCATTAGGCGCCATATTGTTTTTCCCTTTAACCTCATAAACTATGGGTACTAGCCCCCCTTCCCCTCCCTCTCCTTTCTTCCTGCCTGTCCTGCCATCTTCTGGTTCCTGCTGGGGCACTGCAAGGCTTTCCTTCCCTACCAGACTACCCTGCCCTATGCTAAACAAGAACTGGTAAGCTTAACTAGTTATTACTGGGCTTATCCATGAAATAGTCCTTTAACATTTCACAGCCCTAGCTGGATTCTTTTGGGGAGTTAAAGCTCACTTTTTTTGCCTTTAAAAATCTCAGTTGGATCTCATTTGAGCACAGGCGGTAAATGTTGTGCTCAAACTCTTAGTGACAGCTTGCGTACTTAAGCTACACTAAGTATCCTGTTGTTAGCACCATGGAGTGCACCCATATTACAGTATCTCATACCTTTATACACTTCCTCATGCAGAGAGATTCTGGTTCTTTTCCAAAACCATGCCAGAGAATGGATGTCTAGCACTGGATGTCTGACAACTGAAGAGAGCTGTGTTGGGGCCTCACTAGTGCTTGCCATGCACAAGTGCAGTTTTGATTTAGAAAAGCTGAAATTAAAATGACTCTGTGGGAGAGAGCCTCATGTAATTGTTTGGGACCTTACCATTTTTTGAAAGCATATATATGAACCAGGCCATCTTCAGTCTTTATATCCCTTGTGTTTGTATCCAGAGTATAGTTAGACTCATAAAATATTAGGGCTGAAAATCAGGGTGGTTATCTAATCCAACTCCCTGCTCAAAGCAGGTTCATCTCCAACTAGATCATTCCAGCCAGGGCTTTGTTGAGCCAGGTCTTAACCTTCATGGATGGAGATTGCACCACTTCTCTAGGTAATCCATTCCAGTGCTTCACCACTATCCTAGTGAGAGAGTTTTTCCTAATATCCAACCTAAACCTCCCTTGCTGCAACTTGAGACCATTGCTCCTTGTTTTGTCATTCGTCACCAATGAGAAGAGTCTAACTCCATCCTATTTGGAACCACCCTTCAGGTAGCTGAAGGCTACCAAATCCCTCCGCAGTCTTCTCTTCTATGGACTAAACAAACCAAGTTCCCTCAGCCTCTCCTCGAAGTCATGTGCCCTAGCCTCCTAACTGTTTTTGCTGCCCTCTGCTGGATGCTGTCCAATTTGCCCACATCCTTTCTCTAGTGGGGGCCTCATAACTGGACACTACTCCAGGTATGGTCTCGCTAGTGCCAAATGGAGGGGAATAATCACTTCCCTTGATCTGTTGGCAGTGCTCTTCCTAATGCAGCCCAGTATACTGTTAGCCTTCTTGGCAACAAGGACAGACTGTTGACCAATATCCAGCTTATTGTCCAGTGAAACCCCCAAGTCCTTTTCTGCAGAGCTGCTGCTTAGCTAGTTGGTCTCAAGCCAGTAGCGGGATTGTTCCATCCTAAGAGTAGGACTTTGCACTTGTCTTTGTTGAACCTCATGAGATTTTTTTTTTGGTCCAATCCTTCAATTTGTCTAGGTCACTGAATCCTAGCCGTACCCTCCTGCATATCTACTACACCTCTCAGCTTGGTGTTATCTGCAAACTTGCTTAGGGTGCAAACCATCCCATCTTGCAGATTGTTAATGAAGGTATTGAACAAAACCAGCCCCAGGACTGACCCCTGGGGCACTCCACTTGATACTGGCTGCCAACTAGATCTTGAGCCATTGATCACTTCCCATTGAGCCTGATGATTCAGCCAGCTTTCTGTCCACCGTACAGTTCATTCAACCCATACTTCCTCAGCTTGCTTGCAAGAATGCTGTGGGAGACCGTATCGAAAGCCTTGCTAAAGTCAAGGTATATCATGTCCACTGCTTTAGTGAGCTACTAAATTTTACCACATGCACAAAATCAGTATTGCTATACACAGAGACCACTATGCGTCCAGCTGTTCAGTACAAGCATCTATAAGCTTGTGTCTATATTTTCTAAAAGTTCACCAACTTTAAATTAAAATATTGTCAGACAGTTTCATTACTTGCTGATTTGTTATTAGCAGTTAGGCACATTTAATTCACAATGTACAGGAAACGGGCCAGCAGATAAAATAGCCATCATGCACTGACCAGTTTCTCCCCACCATGTGAGCGACAAGTCATAAACTCTTTGTAACAGGTTTTTTTCCCCCCCAAAAACATTATCACCCATCAGCTCCCATTTAAGTACCTTGAAGCAAAAGACAGATTTTCATTATAGCTTAGCACCTCATAGCACTTGCTGTTCTGAATAGGAGCTGCAGGTTGCTGAGTAAGTTAAGTGTACTCCAGGGATTGACAGCCCATGGGCTGAATCCAGGCTGCTAAGTAGGGTTGTGCGAAACTTTGGGTGCTGATTTGATTCTGAGGAGGTTCAGCCTGATTCGGCAGCTGACTCTCCAAATCGAATTGGGAGACCAATAAAAAGGTCCTAATCGATTTGAAGCTCTCTGAATTGATTCGGAAAAGATTTGGAGATTTGGGCAGTCCCCACTTGCTGCCTTGGGGAGCTGGACCCGGAATTCGTGCCAGAAAGTGGGGGCTGGGGGAAGGGAAGAGGGGACCAGGGGGGACCTCTACCAGATCCCATCCCCTGCCTGCTCCCCCAGCACCCTTGAGTGCCCCTTGACCCCTGCCTGCTCTCCCAGCCCCTTCAATGGCTGCCACACCCTGCCCCAGTGTCCTGGCTCTTTAAAAAAAGAAAAAGAAGCCCTGCACTCACTGGCGGCTGTAGAGGCTGCCAGGGCTTCTGGGGCTTGTGGCAGAGTCCTTCCGTGCAGCATGGGGCATTGGGGGCCAGCAGGGATTGCCTCCCTGCCTGGCAGGAGCCGGTGAGTGCGGGGCTTTAAAAAAAAAAAAGAAAAGAAAAAGTGCCGGGATACTGGGGCCGGGCAGGGCGGCCGTTGACTGGGCTGGGAGAGCGGGCGGGGGTTAGGGCCTGTTTGATTAGGAGATTCAGCAGCAGTTATATCTCCGAATCAGATTCAGCTGAATCAATTTGGGACAGTGATTTAAATCACTGAATCGAAACACTGTCCCCTGAATCGGCCAAATCCACAGCGAATACTAGCTGATTTGCACAGGCCTACTGCCAAGCTATTTTATCTGGCCCATGGAACCCAGTTGCCAGTGGCAATTTGGTGGCAGGTTACAAGCATGTTAGTGGCAAGGAAAGCAGAGGTCTGCCTTGGACCTAGTTGCATTATGTTAGCTCACCATTTCTGAAAATTTGCCAATCCCTTGTTTCAGAGCATGTACCATCAGGGTGACAACTACAGGAAACCCTCACTATTTGTGGGTTTGGCATTCGCGAATGCCGATCCCTCATCTTAAATACACTTACGGGAGCTCCTTGGGAGCTCCACACTTGCTGCTGCTGGGCTCCCGCTGCTACCACCATGCTCCTGCCATTGCCAGTGCAGCTGTGCCTCGCCCCAGCTGCTGGGGGCACTGCGTTCATGAACTCAGTGCCTTATTCACAGATTTCGCCATTCACGGGGATCTTGAGAACGTATTCCCCGCGAATGGCAAGGGTCTCCTGTATACACTTACCTGTAAGATGTACTGGAGTGTATAGTTTGAGACTACAGACACGGACAATAAAACATGCTACTGTGTTCTTCCAGGCTTGGCGCTTTATGAGTAGCCTAAGGGCATAGAGGTCTGATAGGTGGCCCTCTCTCTTAATTTAAGATCAAAAGACAAAATTTCTTGGAGCTTTAATCTTTATTTTCCTGAATATTTACGTAAGAGATGCTTTTGAATGCACCCTTGCGATCTGAAATCATTACTGCTGGTTGTAAATGTGCATTTTAAGTTTTACTTTGTCTTTTTTTGGCCCTGCAGGTTCCCCAGGAAAGGCAATTAATACCTCAGCCAGCAATCAAGAAAATAAAGTAGGGGGCCAACCCAGGGCAAACAAGTCCATTCAGGGCTCAAGAGAGGACCGGCCAGGAAGGAAGACTACAGAAGGACAAGTGCAAAAAGGGAGTGATGAGTCAGAGAGTGACTTTGAATCTGATCCTCCTTCTCCCAAAAGCAGTGAGGAAGAAGAGCAGGAAGATGAAGAAGGTTTACAGGAGGAGCATGGAGACTTTAATGATGACAATGATACAGAACCTGAGAACTTAGGCCATAGGCCACTCCTTATGGATTCTGAGGATGAAGTAGAAGAGGAGGAAGAAGAAAAGCAGAGCTCTGATTCTGATTCTGATTGCACCAAGCAAAAACCTGTGGAAAGGATCCCTTGCAGTAAGTACAGAGAAGGGCCTGGTGATGATGAAGACAAGCAAGTCAACATAATGCTCACTTCCTTATCTGAACTACCAAATACTGTGGCCAAGGTGAGCCCTGATCAAGAATTTGATGTGTTTGGCGCTGTCCCTTTCTTTGCTCTTCAACCTCAATCTCAATCAAGAGAAAAGAATAATAAAGATTTCTCTCCTCAGACTACTTTTCCTGGCCTGGGCCAAGAGCAAGATGACTTTGATGTCTTCACCAAGGCCCCATTCAGCAAGAAGGTGACTCAACAAGATGGCCAGATTGCAGGACCTGAGACCCAGATTGCCTCTGTCTCTCCCCAAAGTGTGGATATTTTTGGCTGCACCCCATTCCAGCCTCTCCCTACCCCTAAGAGCAGTGAGAGTAAAGAGGACCTGTTTGGACTGGTCCCCTTTGAGGAGATAACAGGCAGCCAGCAGCAGCAAAAAGTGAAGCAGCAGCGAAATTTGCAGAAACTTTCCTCCCGTCAAAGGCGTATGAAACAAGAGGTGTCCAAAAGCAATGGGAAGCGTCACCACGGCACCCCAACGAACACCAAGAAAACTTCAAAACCCAGCTTCCGCACACCTGAGAGAGCCCGCAGGCACAAGAAAGCTGGTCGCAGGGACTCCCAGAGCAGCAATGAGTTCCTAACGATCTCAGACTCTAAGGAAAACATAAGTGTTGGATTGACTGACAGCAAAGATCGAAGCAACCCTCTGCAAGTGGATGAGAATCTGCTGGACCCGTTCGGGGCTAAACCTTTCCACCCACCAGACTTGACGAGGCACCCCCAGCATCAAGGACTTGGTGACAACCGTGGGGACCATAACACAGTAGTAGTGCCAGGTAGACCTAGACAGAGCTCCCTACATGGGCCTATTCACAGTGGCGATGGGCTTAAAACAGATGACTTTGGCGCAGTACCCTTTACAGAACTGGTTTTGCAGAGTGCACAGACCCAGCAGCAGCAGGCATTAGAGTTAGATCCATTTGGGGCAGCTCCATTTCCTTCCAAACAGTAATTGCTTCCAACAGATTCATCCTGATTCTCTCTCTCTCTCTCTCTCTCCCCCCGTGCTTGTTCTCATTCTCTCCATTATTTAACATCAGTTTTAAATACTACAATAATTCACCCAGTTGAATTGACAGGAAAATGATTCTTTTTGTATAGTTTATTCAGACTCACTAAGTACTCCACAGCCAGCACACCCCCCCCATCCCTTAAAATCATGAGATTTTGCATAGAGAAAAATGCAAAAAAGCCCCCCGAAACAAATCAGCAAAAAACCCCAAACAATAAAACAAAAACAACAAAAACCAGGAGGAGAAGCAAGTATTTCACTAGGACAACGGATTCCCAGAGCCCATGAGGAATCTGATGCAAGTAATTCAGAATCATTCTGCACTTTTGTATTGCTTTTTCACTCTGGCAGTACAAAAGAGAAAGTCATGGAGCAAGGTCTACCATAATGTGTCTAGTTGACCTAACAGAATATAGAATCTTGTCTTCAAATCATTGACTATCTCTGAATCCAGAATAGATCTAGGAACCTGTATGTGCTGGGTCCCATATTGATCTGCTGGAAGTTTTGGAGTCTGTTCTTGCCAAGTGAAAACTACCTTTCCTGATCCTAAGAGAAAAAGAAAAAAAGCCAACTCCTTAAAGGAGTGCGGTGGTGGCTTGAACTAATGCAGCTCTGTGCACAACTAGAGACAAAAGGCAGATTTTTTTTTTTGTGCCTAAATGTTTTAATTTTTTTACAGTAAGTGCCATTAATGTAAAATAGCAAACTGGAAGCCTAGGGTAAAAACTAAAGATACAGAGAATATATTGGTTTGCTAGGTAAAAGCGTGAATGTAGGGAA